AAATAAATATTAGTTAAATAAAGATAAATTATAATAAATTATTAATACATATAATAAAAATAAAAAAATGTATTATATTATGTAAAATAATTTGTTAAAATATATGATACATGCATTTGAAAGAAAAATACAATAAAAAAATTTGATTAAATTTGAATAACTTATAATTTGTTGTTAATTAAATTAAATTATTATATACTATTAAAATACAAAGATAAATAATAATAAAAAAAAATAAAAAAATGATTAAATTAATTTCATAAATAATACTTATATTAAAAATATAAATATTGAAAGACCACTTCATTATAACTAATCAAATTAAATTTGATAAAAAATTAAACCTTCTACTATCAAAATTTACTTAAATATTTAATATTTAATAATATTAATTATTAAAAAATAAAAATAAAATAAAAAAGGAAACAAATCAATATACAAATAAAATATTAAATATTAATTAATACTTTAATAATATTTTAATATAAAGAAGATCTAATTAATAAAAATATTACAATTCAAAACCAGAAAGCAAATCAAAAAGTCAATTCAATTTATACTAAAGAATTTAGTAAAAAAAAAGCTTATATTACACATTATAAAACAAATAATTCAGGAAATTTGTGTCAAAAAACAGAATTTATTGTTAAAAATATGGTGAACATTTAAAAATTTATTTATAATTAAATATAATTTAACAATTTAAAGTTAACTATAATTATACAAAAAATATTTATTGTCATCAAAACGAAATAAAATTTAAATATATTTACGAACCTTAATACGGACTATTTACAATAAATCTTAATAACTAGACAATCTTCAGCTTTCCCCGTCTTTTATTTGTATCAATATTTTTATAACTAGATAACTGATCCGTTCTTATCTTCTCTTCCACTCTTTGTTTACAACTAAAGTTTGTTGTTTGACTTTGAAATTTAATTGTTTCTTCAAGCATTAACAATAGATATCATGATATGTGGGATATATTAGTGTTGAATATTTGTCGTATTTGTTGTTGATAATTTTCAAATTTAATTAATCTGGTTGTGAGTTCGAAACAATTATCAATCAAAACAAATAATAATAAAAACAACAAACAACATAAGGACGACAAGTCCAACGATATACTTAATAAAATAAAGAGCGATCCATTTGGCACAATATAGATTATATGGGAGTCTATGTTTGAGACATGGTATCAAAATAAGAATGATTTATTGAGTATAAATTTGTTTTTATATATAGTTATTGTGTTTTTTGTTAAATATTTTTATGACAAACAGTTTGATTTTGATATCCCGTTTAATACAAAAATAACAAAAACAACAAACATTGATTTATTTTGTTTTTTATTTAAAAAAGACATTAATTAATTTTAATATTAAGTTTAATAAAACAAATAATTTAAAATCTGTAATTAATTCAACCATTTTTTTAATATATATTTAATGTATAAGTTATAATAAAAAAATATATTAACATTCTAATTTAATAATATAATTATATATATAATAATAATATAATATAATATTAAAATGATTTAATAGTAGTAATAATAGTAATAATTATATTATTTTAAATAAAAAATTTAATAATATTAAATAATAAAATAATAAAATTAGTATAAAAAAATATAATTATTATAATAAATAACAATAATTAAATAACTAATAATAATTATACTTTTTATAATTATTAATAATATTATAACTGTTTGTCGAATCAAGCTTTTGCAATAAAACAACAATCTACAGATATTTAAAAAACAACCATAAGTAATAATATTTTATATTCTTTTAATAATAAATTATTTGGCTAAAATATTTTTTTATTCATATTAATTTATTTATACACCTTCTTCAGTGTATAATTGTCTTATAATTATCAAAAAATAAAACCAAACGAAAAATAAATAATTCTTAGTTAACAAACATATTACACACAGACATCAAGCCATACAGCATTCTCTTATTTCGAATTGAATTTAAAATGAGGTTATAGCAAAATCGACTGACTTTATAAATGAGAAATGAGAATTTATTGATGAATAACATTACATTTACTAAATGAATTGGCACATTAACATATATTGCACACAAGTCGTTGAACAATAAATGTAACAAAAGTGCATATCTATATATATTCTTTTGGTGTGACATTATTTAATTGTGTAACTGGAAAGAT